TGGAAGGGGGAACTTCCCCTCTGAATGACATCTGCACAAACAGATGGAGACCCTTACAATAGGAAATAGGGGCCTTACAGGAGGGTGTATACCGGAATTGGACAGTCGCATGAAGACCTTTGCTACATCTACCAGTGGGTCTGGGGAACCCACTAGGGAGACACCGAAGGGGCCCTGTTACCTCATGCCAAATACCCCGTGCTCCCACACCTAAAAACGTTTTTCTGGAGGAACGATGTAGATTTTTTCAGTGCCTTTCGTAGCTCCTGTCAGCTATACCTTCTTAACTCGCCAGCCTCGGACCTTTTTCTCCGAAAATCTGGTGAGGTTAGGGTTCATCATTTCCCTACTACAGGTGGGCCCAAGACTGGGCCCACGGGCTCCTAGAGAATCGAGGACCCACTGTTGAAGTGGTCAGTGACTGTAATTTTTTGAGGCTATGGCCCTCTTGTATGACGTCCCGCTGCGCACCGCAACGGCCTGAGAGGGCCCTAGATACCACTAGGCTAGGGTCACTGAACAGTGGAGGACTATGCCTGCCGAATTCAGCGCGTTGGCGTAGTGACGAAGCCAAAAAAAAAAAAAAAAAAAAAAAAAAAAAAAAAAAAAAAAAAAAAAAAATGGAACGAGTGCGGCCCTTGCACCACCAGTTCTGCATAGGGTTAGCTGAATCACTGAAGGAACGAATTGGCCCGAATAGACATACCCAGTAATTTGGGAGGCCTAATTAGCTTTTGACTATTCGAATTGAACACCAGTTGCGGGAGCGGCAGGCAGGAAAAGGTGCAACCAAGGACTAAGGACCCAACACCCCCTCAGGATTCAAACCCAGTTCGCAGCCGGCAAGGCCTGAATCAGGATGCTATGGATACACCCAAGAACCGAGCCATCGGGTAAGGATACGGTCCTCGGACACTTACACCTGTGGTACGCCAGAGGACGGTCCCTTACCAACAATCTCTGCCTCTACTGTGGGGGAGCTCATGCCATGTGGTAACGTACCTGGTCCTGTCAATGAGGGGTATGTGTTACCGCTGTTTTCTCTACGGTCACTTTCTAAACCAGTCAATGGGGCAAACACTAGTTATTTCTTGCGGTACCCCTGTGGTCACTTCAAGCCCTGTTTTTTGCCGGAGAACGGTGGTGAACCACAGCAATTGTGGGAGTCTGGGGCGTGTAGTTGCTTCATAAATTTGGACTTTGCAGTTCAGCCCTAACAAAAATCACCACCCTACACTATATACTTAATGGAGGTGGGATAGAATATTTTTCTAGCAGATGGATCCCGTATTAAGTCAGGGGTTTTTTGGTGGTGGACGACGACGGACCCCACCGATCCCGTACTACCGTATTCGACCCATTCATGAAGAACTCCTTCTGGTTAGACGACCATAGCAATCCCCATTATTTCCATAATTATTTTTGGGGCATTCCCGTGGATTACGTGCCCCATAATACCCCAGGTTGAACTGGAAGACGGGGTTCTATCCAGTTTCCTCTCCACATAACTGCCGAGCTGCATTTGCCTCCATAAGAACTCCCCGATTCCTCTTCCGGAGACTTTGTTGTGTCCCAAGAGGACAGATGCGGAGCTGGCGCACTGTCCATTTCTTTCAGCCTACCGTAGTTTTTTTGGATGTGTTTTAGCAAGCGGGGCGGACACTCTCCCACAGCACCACACGAGGTTATGGACTGCCCAATTTTATCTCGCTCCCAGGAGTTGGAATTTCCCATTTGGGGCGGATATTCCCCTTATCCGACACGGGAGGTTAGGGGTGCTAAAAGAATATATCGATGAAAATCCTCTCCAGAATGGGGTTTATTAGAACCCTCCACGTTCATCCCCAGCCGGGCGCGGGCATTTCTTTTTCTTTGTGGAACAAAAGGACAAGTCCCTCCGGCCCTGCGTTGAGATTTACCGGGACTTGATATATAGTCACAATAATGAAACCGTTACACGCTTCCACTGAGTCCCCGAACCTTTTTCAGAGTGCTTGAAGTCAGCATCTGTCATCACTAAAAACTTGACTTGAGAGGTTGCCTATAATTTAGTCCGTATCAGAGAGGGGGAAGAGTCGGAAGGAGGGTGCAGCATTCCGTACCAGATTCAGACACACTTGAATATTTGGTTATGCCTTTCGGTCCTATGCTAACGCTCTCTCAGCCACCTTCCAGCATTTCAATATACGATGTGTTCAGGGACTACCTGGATATCTTCGTCATAGTATTCCTTGGAACGCATATTCCTAAATCGTTTCCCAACCATTGGAGGACCATAAGAGGTCTCGTGAGGCAGTGTTAGAATGGAATTCCGCCATCAACAGGCTTATATGCCATAAGCAGACATAGTGATGACTTTGATCAGAGTCAAGTATTTCGTTTCTCTGGTGTCTACCATCCTCTCCACGGAAAATAGCCATGGATTCCCCAATAGGTATTCGGCCATCCTAGATTGGCCAAGCACCCACCTCCGATAAGTAAGCGGTCCTACGCTTTATCGGCTTCCGCATAACTTTTTATAGAAAGATCATTAAGAACTTTTTCCGGTGCCTTAGTGTCCCCTATCACCCAGCTGAACCAGGCAGGGGGTTCCACTTTGTTTCCAGTGGACACCTGAGGCACAGCAGGGCATTCGAAGCCTTAAAAAGGAATGTGATTACGGCAGCTCCCTATTTTGAGCCACCCTGTATTCGTCACTATGCCCATATATCGTGGAGGTCGAAGACCGCATCCGAGAATGCGGTTGGGGCGAAAGTTCCTGTCACCAGAGGAAGGGCCATCAAAGAAGCTTATGCGGGCCCTGGTGGCTTTCTTCTCCAGGAAACTAACTACTGCTGAATGGAATTATGATATCGGGGCATCGGGAACCCTTTGCGATCAAGGTGTTGGCACTTGAGGAATGGAGATTACTTGTTAAGGGGAAGGGGGCGGTTACACAACCCAATATTGATTTTCACGGACCAACAAGAACCTAGAATATTTGAAAAACAGATTGACCGTCTGAGGACCAACGTCAAGACAGGTGTTAGGGCACTGTTCTTTTCACTGTTTCCTGTTCCATTTAAATATAACCTATAGGCCAGGTCTATGTGCACGAAATCCAGACGCGCTCCTCCCGCATGTTTGGAGGATCCCCGAAGAGAGATCCCAAGGCCAGACACTATCCTGTCCCCAGGGGAATTTCCTAGTCCTCCAAATACGGAGCTCCTTATCTAAATTGCAGACCGCGGTTCCATAGGAATTGCAAGGTCCACCCTGTTGTACCCTTTACTAAATAGGAGGGGACATCTCTTGAAGAGGAATCAGGATTGTGGTCCATGAGGAAGCCCATACATTGGTATTTAGGATACTGCCACGATCACCGCTCCTGTCCGGCGACACTTTGGGGTAACGTAAGATCTTGGAGCTGCTGCAACGCTACTTTCTGGTGGCATTATATGGCCAGAGAAGTGCGAAACTTACTTAAAGACCTGTCCCGGTTTGTCAGAGAAACAAACCACTAGGAATAAAGCTTGGGGTCTCTTGCGTCCAATACCAATACACCCCCACAGAACCATGGACAATGATTTCCATTGCACTTTTATTGTGGAACTTACACACTCGCTCAGGACCACACCAGCAATCTTCCGTGATTGTAGACCGACTGTCCCAGATGGCCCATTTTTGTACCTCTAAAGACACACCTACGGCCCTTGAGACAGCAAGTGTGTTTATTAAGGAAGTGGTAAGATTCCACGGAATTCCCAGGGATATTGTATATGACAGTAGGGGTTTCAGTTTTACATCAAGTTTTCTGGAAAAGCTCTATGTGAAAACCTGGGAATTAAGCTAATCATCTCGTCAGCTTCCACCACCCACAGACCAATGGCCAGGACAGAGGCGTACAAACCAGACCCCTAGAGCAATACCTCAGGTGGCTATAAGCCACCTTCTTCCAAGATGACTGGGTTCCCTGCCCACGTTGCGGAATTCGCATATAAACAATTGCGAGTCACTCTGCTACTAGACAGTCCCCCGTTTTTCGCAAAACTATGGGTTGCCACCCTGTAATTCCTGCAGATCCCTGATCCCGGAGGTCACAGTCCCGGCCACGCAGGGATATGTTGAACTTTTTGTCAACCAATTGCAAGGTATTGCAAGGAAGCAATGGCAAAGGCCAAGGGTGACAATAATAAGAGGGCATTTGATTAGGGAAAAAGAAGAGGGGAAATAAGTTTGCAGCCAGAAGTCCAGGTTTGAGTTGTCCACGCCCAAATTTAAAAATGTCCTGCCCTTCGAAGAAATTGGCTCCCACAATTCTTGGGGCCTTTTCAGGTCAAAACGTAAGATCAACGAGGTTAGCATACGAGCATGCAATGGCCGAGTCTATGAAGGTTTCAATACGCTCTTCCATTGTGTCCCTGTTGAAAACCAGCAACTCACTCCAGACATCCGCTTCCCGGATCGAAGGTCTAAACCACCGGAGGCCAGTAAACGTGGATGGGGAGGAGAATTTGAAGTTGAAGCTATCTTAGATTGTAGGAAAAGGGGAGGCAAACTCAGTTCTGGTTAAATGGAAGGGAATATGGGGCCGGAGGAAAATTCATGGGAGCCGGCCAAAAATGTGAAGCCCCCAAGACTTGTGCAGGAATTTTTCAGAACCAGCCGTTAAGAATGGGATCGGTTGGGCTTCCGGAGGTTGCCTGTAGGGGGGGGGGGGGGGCAATGTTTCAGGGATCCCGGCTCTCGGCGGTGCGCGCATGTGCAGAGTGTCCGATCCGTCCAAGCCGGTGAGGCACAGAGTCCTCGGCGATCGCGGCGGCGGCCTGCACATGCGCACTACGATCGCGGCCGCACCAATGGAAGACAGGGCACTACTATTTAAAAAACTGCCCTGTGCATATCCAAGTTGCCGCATAGGCGTCTTGTTCTGGTTCCTGTAAGTACCTTTTCCTTGTTGCCAAACTCTGCCTGTTCTGATTTATGCTGACCCTCTCCGCCCCCCCCCTTTTCAGCTCTGACCCCGGCCTGGCTCGTTCCTGACCATCCTTCTGCCTGACCCTTGGTATCGCGCTGCCCGGTACCTGCTGAACCTGGCTTGTGACCCCGGAACCATTCTCCGCTTGCTCCCCCTGTACCACGACTGCCCGCACGATACCAACCCGGTTAGTCTGACCTCGCTCACGACTCCTAGCAGTCACCCATCCATCCCGCTCGGATCGGGATCTGTCATCCGTCCATCCCGCTCGGATCGGGATCTGTCCATCCCCTTCACAGCAGGCTCATCCCGGGCACATACCCTCAGCGGGACCCCTCTGCCCACCGCCGAGGGTGCCCAGGGGCACGACCCTGGCTTCCAGTCTTGCACCAAGTCCATCCCCAGAATCAGGGGCCCTAAAGAAACGGCAGACTGGGATTTAGACTCGCGTCCTGGGAAAACCCCGTGCTGTGGACCACTAGAGATCCCGTTGGGCAGAGCCTGACACCTGAAGCTCATCCCTAATTTCTAGTGTAGGATTTACTGAGCAAGTCATGATGCGCACTCATGAATTAAATAGAAATCAACCCTATAAAACGGGGTGTAAAAGACTGTTCTCCATGTGAGTTAGTGGGATGGTACACAGGGATATCCTCAAGGCGGTTTTTTTGTTTTCCAAACGTGCCAATCCACAGAAAGTGGGAAACTCCAATCTACACAAAAATGAACAGTAAGTGCCTCTAAGAGTATCACTTTCATTTTGGTAATGCACTAGGCCAGTGTGCCCTCTGTTTGTCTTCTATGCACCTAGTGTTCTGGACTTCCCTGGTCCTTTGAGGGCAGCAAGGATGCAACGTTCAGGATCCATAGCTACATTGAGTTCATGCCCAAGCTCAGGAGTATTTTGTGTTTACTATTCCCCTTCATTAATGACTGGAATCATATGTGCACTACAGCAAACACAAATGTATCAAGACAATGTTCCCAATGAGAACTGGCACCTTTCAATGAACCTCACACAAGGTTTCTATTGCTTGTAGAGAGGAAGTTAAGACTTTCTCCAATTGTACCCATTTCTACAGGTGAGACAAGGCACTCGCAAGGAAAAGGCTAACCTTATAATAACTTTGGGCATTTACCTACATTCAGTTTTAGAGTACAACATACATGCATATACGCATGATGCTGGATCTCCTAAGCATACAACTTGCATATCAAGATCTCACATTTAGATTACTGTGTCCATCTGGGCTTTTACTTATTTTTAGGTACTTGACCATTGACACTAGTGATTTATTCAGCTGAGTGCCCATTAACCACCAATGAAAGGATACATTCTTCCTCCCACTGACCACCAAAAAAGCAAACGTTTTTCCTTCTACTAACCACAAATGTAAAAGTGAGTATTTCCACTGACCTCCAGTATAAGGTGGCAGTTTTCATCTGACCACCAATGTAAGGCGACACTTATCAACTGACCACCAATGTTACAAGGCACTATGATTTTCACCAGCTGTGTTACTTTTCTGGCCACTATTGTTATTATTTGCTTGATGTCACAGAGGGGGTGTTAAAAAATGTATCTGCCCTATGTGTTAAACACATTAGATATACCACTGCTTCTAGTTGTCTTGGGTAAGTGAGTAGCAGATGAAATACCCATTAGATAAACACAACCTTATCAGTAGGGTAATGGTGGTGTCAAAGGGTCCAGTTCTTATTTGCACTGGGCTACTATTTTGAACGAGGTCAACCTATTTTTTGGGACTTACTCTTACTTGTGGAAAAGCAAACCAACTACTATAGCCACCCTGCCACCCCAGATTCATGGTGGTCATAGGTCTTGGCTTGCTACTCTATGATTTGGGATGATGTCATATTATCTCTTCTTTGTTGGAGTCTTCCCAGTTTTTTAATCAGCAGCAATTGTTCCTGACCAATACCATACTGCTGGCTCCGCCTGTGCACTCAAGAGCAGTTTTTTAAGTGCAATATTTGTTATTAATGTTCTTGATACATTTGTTGGTCTGTGCTATGTAGTGTGCCTTTGGTTTGTTTTGTTGTTTACTGTACGGCTATTTACCTAAGCATTTCACTCCAGTTCTTAAATGCAGCAAATTAAGCCCAATAACGCACACATGGTAGATAATGTTAACAAATAGATTCATATGAAATTCAATGAACACAGCTCAAAAATTTGCATGATACCAAAGTATATAGTTTGTTTTTATTCAGCCTTACCCCAGGCATACACAAATCTTGCCTGTCAAGCTATGTTTACTATGGGATTACGTTTCTTTTATCTGTAGTGTGCAGACACTCATTGTCACAACACCTGGTGTTCTAGAATAGAAAACCTTTTTCTAAAATCATTTTTGTAATGCTGACAGGAAGGGAGTCAGATAGGATCATATTCCCATAACCACATGTTCAGTCTTATTTCAGTTACATTTCAAACAATAGTAAAATGAAACTTTAGGTTTCTTTTTATTAAATCTGCCTATTATTATAGCACTATAGACACATCCACACAAAAGACAACGGAGAACAAAACTAGATAGTGTTGTCATTTTTCTCCAAGTTCCTGCTGGCTACTGTCCAATCCATCAGACTAATAAGAATGGCAAACATGGGAAGGAGTTGCAGAATGACAGTTCATTCTATCCACTTTATGATTCAGTTCTTTACCTCCAGGCCAGAACAAAACAAAATCTTAACAGCTTTTTGATGCTGATCTTCCCTAAAGATTGATAGCACTTATCTCCTTATCTCCAGAGCTTGTTAAATATATAAATGATACAGGTAACGCAGAAATCCTTCTCGTACACTTTTTATTGTATGTGATGACATTTATGTCTATTTTTTCTCTCCTAATTATTACTGCCATCCCTGTTCCAGCACAGTGCAGCACATAAAATATACATATTTAACATGAGTGCATTAAGTAACTGAACATTGCAGTCCCTAAATGAATTACTAGCTGTAAAGGACATCAAACAAATGAGATTAAGGATTTGAAGGCAAATTAAATAACATTTTAATAAAGTAATTATTTCTGTACAAGTATAAAAACTATTATGAGACCAAATGTGGGGACAGAGAGCTGAACAAAGCGAGGCTTACTGTTCATGACAGCCAAGAGATAAGTATTCTGAGCTATATGGAAACCTTAGGGCTACTGCTACACAAACAAGCATTAATCTCAGACACTGAAAAAATCTTAGAGAGAAAAAAAATCACTCATGCGCTTTATCTTGCAGAAAAAAAATCACTCAACAATCTTATAGATTGTAGAGTGATAGGGTGATTGTTAAGATAATAAGGTTTCTATTCCTGTCAAAGACAGTAGGAAAGTTAATTGCTAATAATGAGGAGTCTTGGTGTCTGTGATGGCATAAAGTATAACTCCATTTTTGCTGCAAAAAAAAACCAAAACCAAAAAAAAAACAAAAAAAAAAAACCTCAATCCCCACTGGATGATCAATGTATATTGCAAAGATTTTAACAAACTTTGTTGCAGAGCCCAACCTTTTTCTGCTCCAAAGAAATCGTTGTAGTTGATGTATTTGATCACCACTGGCTTTTTTATTATAGAAACAAAAAAAAGACCAACACATTTGAAAAAAAAAAAAACTATATTTTTTACTTTCTGTTTTAAAACATCCAATAAGATAATTAAAAAAAAAATCTAATTTCTTTATGAATTTAGGCCAAAATGCATTCTGCTACATGTCTTCAGTAAAACAAATCCCAATAAGTGTATATTAATTGGTTTGAGTAAAAGTTATAGCATCTGAAAACAATGGTATATATACTGTAATGTTATTAATTTATTTATTTTTACTAGTAATGACAGTGAACAGCAACTTATAGTGGGACTGCGGCAGGCAACCTGACACTAATTGACACATTGTGGGAACTGGCTGACACTGACATCACTAGTGACATTAATACAGTGAAGAGTGCTAATAATATACACTGGGAAAGGTTTAACATTTAGGGACAATCAAAGAGTTAACTGTGTGCCTAACAATGTTTACTGTGTGTATTGTGTGCTGTTTTTACAAAGCAATGCACCGGTTTTTTGGCAGAGAGAATAAAAATGACACATCGCTGCTGTCTCTAGAGTTCTGTGTTGTTTACCAACACAGGGCTCGCTTCTGTCATATGCTCAGCCGATCAGTGGGTCCCAGCCATAAATCATTGGCTGGGAGCCACTGATCAGCTTGTGCTGTAGCGAATTACACTATAGCTGGGGAGGCGGGTGTTGTCTTATCATTTTATAAAGTCCACACAGAAACAGTTCATAAAACAAATCTGTTGTCTTATATCAATGATGGAGTACGTATAACCAGTGTATATTTTATATATATACTTTTCACGCAGCAACTAACAGCTCATTTCCAGAGAGATGCATTTATTCGGATAAAGATATTTGTTACAGATGACAGAAATCCAGTAGATACTTGTAGATATTACAATGAACAACAACCCTCAGAGTCCCATTGAAGACACTTCATATCAAACATGGAGATATTACACCGCCCAGCATATGTCCGATCTATAATACGCACCTAGGTAGCTTCCATGCATGCAATAATGTGGGTTATGATCTATACCTGTGCTCCCATATTAATGAAAGGAAGAAGATCCTCTCCCAGCCAAAATTACTTCCCTTGAAATAGTTTACTGGAGGGGTTTCTGATTGGCTGACAAAACACTTTTGATCTTACATGAAGAGACTTCACTTGTCATTTCTATACATAACAATTGAGGTTCACTATAGTGTTTACCATATAATCAAGTCATCCTTTCACCATATAATACCCCCTGAGTCTAATTACCATCAATAAATACTTCTTGTATGGGCCAATCACATTCTTGATCATCCTTAAACATGTAAAAAATGTACCCTTTGGAATGTCTAACTAGATAAACAGGCTATTCCCCAAATACCAAGGTGACCTGCATAAAATTAACGTAGCAAAAAGTTATTTTGATGTGTAAAGTATGAACAGTATGTGTTTCAATATCTATCTATCTATCTATCTATCTATCTATCTATCTATCTATCTATATATATATATATATATATATATATATATATATATATATATATATACACACACATTATATAATATATATACAGTTGTGTTCAAAATAATAGCAGTCAGACATCACTAACCTGATCAATCACTGTTTTTGGTAGAAATGATATTTCTACATGGCAAATCATTTACTAGCAGGTGTAGTAGAGTAATAGAAATCCAACAGACCCAACAGTCGTGACATGCATGCTGCTGATTCTGTGTAATTGAATCACTAATTGAA